AGGACCCAAATATAAAACCCATTTTAAAAAAAAAATGTAACCATCACATTCAATTTGCAGTGTCAGTACAAAAGAAATTTATTTTGGTACATGGAGATAAGAAGTTACAAGCAATCTTTGAAAAGGAGTACAAGAGGGATATTTCTTCAGACTTTCAGGTCAGTTCCGTGGGTTTAAAAATCTGTGGCCCCACAGGGGTAGAGACAATTTTCAAATCCCTTAGGCATGATAAATGAATGTTTTATAGACAAATGGAGGAATTTGGGGGGAATTTGTTAATTTATTAGCAGATTCTGAATGAATTCGTTTGGAAGGGAGAGAGTTTGGACAGAAGCTAGAATGTGGACACAGAATTAGTGGGACTGGGTTTCCTTATAAGACTCAGAAGCCCAATTCTCTGAGTACTCTACATTTTGAAAAAGGAGGGTCTACATCTGTGAGGACTGAGGAGATGAAGAAGTGATGTGCCCAAAGCAGAGATTCAGCAACAAGATGAGGCACAGCAGGGGGGGCGGGGGCAGGTAGAGATGACGCAGATTGGGCGATAGCAGGTGGTGGGGCAGGAGACTTGGCCACAGACTGGGCGGAGGCGGCAGCAGGGGTGGCAGCAGCTGGAGATGCAGCAGCTGGGGCGGCAGCAGGTGGGCTGGCAGCACTGGGGCCTGCAGCAGCTGGACACACAGCAGCTGGGGCGGCAGCAGCTGGACACACAGAGGCTAGGGCGGCTGCAGCTGGACACACAGCAGCTGGGGCGGCAGCAGGCGGTCCTGCAGCAGGTGGTCCGGCAGCAGCTGGGGCGGCAGCAGGTCTCCTGGCAGAGGTCTTGGCTACAGCCCTGGTCAGAGCAGACAGAGCCACAACAGGAGTTGACCATGCTGTCAGAGGGTGGAGGTTTTCAGGGTGTTTACAGGAGAGTGAAGTTCCCAAACCTCGAAGTCTCCCTACCCCATGTCCCGTTTTATACCCTGCTGAGGGGCTACTGTCAATATGTCAAGACTTTTTTCCTTGTTATTATTTATCCTACTGGAAAGCTTAATCATTTAGTTACGTAATCGTGTTTTTCTCGTTAAGTACTCCAAAATGAAGAAAATGACATGTTTTCCTCTTCCTGTTGCGCTCGTGTGTTTCCAATTAAAACATTTCTCACATTTCTTCCTTACACGATGTCACCTCAGTCACTGGCCTATGCAGTATCTTCTACACATATTTGTCACGTGACTTTCTGCCAGTTTGTTTTTGAATGTGAAGTTCCCTGCTACCTATAAGTTGTTCTCTGAAAATCCTGAAATGACTCTCATGATGCTAGGAAACCTTTCAGATGGAATGCTGATAGGTAAATAGAAGGAGAGACCCATGATGGAGAGGATGTCCCATCTGTAATGAAGGTGACTGTGATCCTGTGTGGGCATCTTAGATAGTCAGAGAGATGATGGGACCCCAAGGAAGTTCCAGGCTGTGTGCCAGACCTTATTTCACTGTCTCAGGATGAACTGTAAGAATGTCTTCTGGGATAGGCATGAAGAGTGGGAAATTTTGATTACTCTTCTGATTGTCAAACTTTTAAGATGGATTTTTTTTTTTAAATTATAAAAGCTTTTAGTATATATAACGATATTTAGAATTAACAAGCCTTTCAATAACCTGTATCCAAGACATTCTGTTGGGTAGTATGGGGGTGTAACAGATAAGCCTTCATCTCTTTCCTGTAGGTACTTGAATAAGACACATACGTAGGATACTGAGTTTGGTAACCACTAAAAGAATTACAATATTTTAATTAAAAAATTAAAATGAAAATATATAGTATGTGGTTAAGTCCATACACCCTCAGTGAATGGTGAGAAAATACTAAAAGCTATCATTTGTGAAGTGTGGACGTCAAGCATTGTGCTGAATGTTCTATATTCATTTTGCTTTTGATCTTTAATGAAGCCCTGTGAGGTAGTGTGTGTTCTTGCTGCTCTTTTAGTAGAAGAGTCAGCAAAGACATAGACAGGTTAAAAATAAAAACTTTTCCAAAATTAAGCAGGAAGTAAGCTCAATATCTTTAGAATAGCCAAGGAAGAATGAATAAGAAAATTTAAAAGCCTTTGCTGAAGGGATTTTATCTTCCTGAAATGTTCCTTCTTTCTGGTCAGCTCTGTGAACTCCAACTCATATGTCAAGACCCAGCTGATGTGCTTTCTCCTCAATGATGTCTTTCCTGACTAACTATATCACTGAAATATAGTTCTTCCCTGTACTGTGCTCCTAACCTAGCACACTCGACTGTATCATAGTTATGTCTTCTGTCCTTCCCCCAGCTGCAATGCTTAT